TACAGCTACTACGTCTCCGGCTGCTTCGGCTCCTGCCACTACTACTTCATCTTATCTGACTTCGACGTCAGCGCAGAGCCATTTAATGACACTCCGGGGCATCTTATTATCTAGATCGAGGAGATACCTTGGGGCAGCAGGCTTTCGGGCAACGGTGTCAACTACTAGACAATGATTCAGCGCGAGGACGCGTTGATCAGAGAGGGGGGAGTGATGTAACACGTCGGATGAGAGGGGGGGGCGCCCAGGAACGGCGGTGGCGCCTCCACATCTCCCTTCCCCCTAGAAGGAATTAGAAGAATAAAATAGGAAAGTTTGGTTTGTTTAGTAAAGGAGAATCCAATCTATAAGGATATATTTCTTAGTTGCTTGGAACACAAGTCCTATAGGGACTATAAATATAGGGATGCTCATCAAATCACTCAAATATAAATTTCAAATATTACTAGACACATGAAGGTACAATGGTGGATGAAAATCGACACACCCAAAATAAATTATTTCAACTATTTTGGAGCACTTGAATTGTAGTCCGAGTAAGTTCGTGATCCACCATGATCCAAAACCTCTGAATAGTCCAGAAGTGCCTGCTACTTGGTAAAAGGAAATAAAATTGCTTCAAACATGACAATCTTTTTCCACTTAGAAATTGGAATCCATCTCTAATACGTTTGTCGGAATTGCTCGTGTGGAAGTAGGTGTAATTGTAGATCTTCCTGGATAGACAAGACAACTGAAGAGTATGAAGCATTTAAGTTAACTTGAGTCCTAAGAATGCGTTTTTTAGCAGCCAAGTTGGCCGGAATTGCAACTTCCTAAATACTATCATACTCTTTTGCTTATATCTTAAAAAGAACTAGAAATGGGAATGCGACAACAAGAGTTTACACTTTGTTTATCGTTAGTCAAGTACGCATTAATGAACTCTTCTTTTTTAATTACTGCAGGATTTCATTCTTCACCTATTCTTCGTAGCAAAGGAATGAGGCGGTGCGGATCTAGGATTGGGACAAAGGAGGGCCAAAGAAGATTTAGGACTAAAGCTAAAAATTGTATATATGATTAAGGCAGCTTAGGAGGTTACGGCAGCCCCCCCATATGAACAGAAATAAATAAAATCAGTAATATTGTGATCGTTTGACAATTGTTAGAATCAAGTACAGCACAACATAAATCACAGGGTTGAAACAATAGGCTTCTGTCATCGAAAAATTAAATCACAGGGTTGAAACAATGTGTTTAAATCAGTAGTTTCTTTTGTCCAGCGTGCCAACTTTCTCTTCAGAGTTCAGATGAAGAGGCTCCAATGTCCTCCTCTGACTAGTGAGCCGTTCAAAGTCTCAGGCAGGTACCATTTTTTCTCGAAAGTTTCAAAGGAGCCGGATGAGGCTCCTGAAAACAGAAAGCTGAAAGATCCGATCTGAAGAAAGGCTTCGGTCAGTGCTGCTACTAGTAGCATTTTGCAGATAGGGACATGAAACCGTGGAGCCATATAGCAGAAGCGCAGAGCTAGTGCTAGTAGTGTTCATGGGAACGGTAGAGAAATTCCCTGCTTGGCTGCCCAATTGTCTTAAAGAAAAGGGTTGCCCATTCCAAGAAGCAAATGGATATGATCATGTAGCTGTCGGCTAGCTAGCTAGCATAGAACCACACAGCTTGCATATAAGTCAATTAGATTTACCTTCCTTTGTTTGTTTTTAACAGCTCAATTTCATGTGTCACTTTCTATACTTTTCGCTGGTTTACTTCTTAACAAATGCCATGTTCGCTTGGCTGATAAGCCATGACTGAAAGTACTGTTGACTGATTTGTTGTGAGAGAAAAAGTATAGCTTATAAGCCGAGAGAACATGACGAAAGACTATTTTACTGTACATTACTTTTTCTTTATAGAAGTAGTACTTTTGAAGGTGAATCTAATAATATATTGCCATGCCACCTAATGTGACAGACAAAAAAAATTGATGTATACAATAATAGTAGATATGATAGTTTTTTTTTCTTTGAAAGATCAAAGCTTTGGAAGTTTGACCCCACATTTAGAATTACATTTGGTTTATGACTGAAGGCAGTACTTTACAATCCTGTACTTTGAAGGCCATATGTTTGTTGATCATTGAGAATAGTATACAGCCATAAAAAGCTGATAGTAACATAATACTCAGAAGAGACGCGCAAGGCTATTGCCACATTTGAGAATTTGTTTGCTCACGTACAATGACTGTAGCAAGAACATAAAACATATCGCAGTCAATAGACATTCCATGGAAATATATGATGAAAATGTGAACAAGCTTGGGGCTGATACAGCTTCTGTTTACACTTTAGGCTAAGTAGCAATGCAAAACTTCTAGATATTTACTATGCTGGATGTTCAAAAGTCAATGACGAGATGCGGTGATTGAAGTTTATTTTTCTCAAATGCTCAGGAGACATCAATATTTTGTATTAATAAGAAGAAGAAATGTACACAGAATATAATAGGACACGCGACATACACCTTTAAAGTTTAATTTATATAAGATGTAAATGAAATTTATGAGAATACTATTAAGATTTTGTTTTGAACGAAAATAAATCTAGTAAGATTTTTCTTACTTGACTTGTGTACTTTATTCTCAACAGCCATGAGAGAGAGAGAGAGAGAGATGAAACTCACTACTACAGTACATCACAAAGAACATGTGTGGATCAGAGCTCTGAATCCTCAACTGTAAGAAAAAAAAACTGATAAAATGCTGGTAGGTTGTGTGAACTTTCATAATCCAGCAGTAGTGTTCATGGGATCAGAGCTTCCAAGAAAAGAGTAGAAGACTAGCTAGCAGGGTTTCTGCAGCTGCGTGGCAGTCTTTCTGCACGTGCATTGACAGCTGGGCCATGGAGAATCGCTACGTGGCAGTGGGGCCCACTGCTGGGAGGAGACACAGGACAGAGCGGCGGCTGACCTTTTCCAGTGTGGGTCATAGAAGGTGAAGCTCTCGTTGTTTGGACACTTCAACCTTTGTCGAAGTTCTAACATTACTTTCGAATAACCTTGTTTGTCCTGCTCCTGATTCTCTTTTCGAATAACTACTATTTTCTAACATTCTCTTTTCAAATTGGTCAGTGCTGTTTGTTTATTCGCAAAACAAAAAAAAGAACGATTTTTTAAAAGAAAAATAGCGGCAAAGATATACATTAAAGACCGTGCAAATTTAAATAGGTTTTTTATCGGATGGATTAGATGTGTTGCAGATATCTTTATAAAAGCAAGGCTAATAATACAGCCTTCGACTCATTGTATGATCCTTATAGTCCACTTATTAGCCAACTCGTATAATAGTTAGTTTATTATAACCCATCCCTTCCTTTCACAGGGTTTCTTGGTTCTTGTGCTTTAGTTGGCTGCAAACTTACAGCCCACATTTCTCATCTCCCCTCTTTTTCTCCCTCCACCTCAGTATACAGTCTGCTAATAGTCTCCTATAATACTCCGAAATTAAAAACAACTAGCCATATAATAGATGTCCATGATCTACCTCTATCACCGTGCCTTAGATGTCATTCTCCATTAAATGGATTTGAGGGTTCTTTTTTAGGTCATTACTGGAGTACATATAAAAAAACAGGGCCAAAGGGCCAAAGTAAGGGAACCCCTCAAATAAAAAGTAGGGGCCTGACTTGAGAGCCATTGCTGGAAATGCTCTAAGGATTATAATAAAAAACTAGATTATAAATAGTAATGATTGTAGAATCTGGATTTTTTATAAAAGAAGTCTAGGTTGTTTGGATCTATGGAATATAGCTGGAGATTGTAGGTGGTTAAAGTTAAGTTCCACCCCCATTACCCATTATCTCCTAATAGTTGAGTGAACGTGAATAGATGGATTCTCGTAATATCCCCCGTTCTAAATTGTAAGTTGTCCTACCATTTTTAGGTATATAGTTTTTTACTATACACCTAGAAGTATATATTATGTCTAAATACATAGTAAAAGATATGTACGTAAAAAAGGCTAGAATAACTTATAATTTGAAATAGCAGAAGTAATAGTGATCGAATTGTAAGAATCTAACATTATAGTATGTTTATTTGGATCTTAATTCTCATAATTAATCTTTAGGAGATCAAACAGAACCCTAGTGTAATGTGTAAATCCCCCCTTCCGTTATGCACCTTCTAGAAGATGCGTGCGTGCTACCCGTACGTGTTATCGTGCTCTAACTAACTTCAACCATGACTTTCCGCACCAAAATGATTCTCCAATCGTGTCACAATGACTTGCAGCAATGTTGTCCTGATGTTTCTTTGTCCACATGTCAGTCTTGCAGCTTGTGATCAGATTCAGTTCAGTTTTAACTCGTTAAACTGAATAAAAACAGTACGGACCATCCTTAACATTATATCGGTACACTAATCTCTCATGTTCAGCCTAACTTTGTACAGGACTAAAACACAAAGTCCCTTTGCGTTGTAATCTGTAAAACATTCATTAATTCGTTTTGCTTTCAAGAGGGGACCGAGTCAAAGTATGAGATCAGCCCATTTGATTTCTCAGCAACCTTACACCCAGTGCTTGCATTGCATGGCTGCCCTTCCCAGGCGCCAAGTTGCACGTAGCTTTCTCACACAATGACACAAAACCAGAACCAGCATTCCATCTGCTCAGAAGGGGAAGAAACAAACCACAACCAACCTGTGCAAAGTAACAGAGACTATAGTAACAAAGTGTCAGAGCCTCTGAAGATATATTCGTCAAGATGGTAAGTAGTACAATTCAAACATAGTGACTTGGACCAAATAAATGACGCTCGCTCCTTTTAAGACCATGTCGACACCCTTTAAATAATACGGAGTATAAGACATGGGAGGAGCATGAGCAACTACTGACTCCTCCTTATCTCCTTGAGTGGCCATCTAGAAGACTGCTAGCTGCATCAAGAAACATACATATATACAAGCATATATATCGGACATAGATACTCCTGGTGGAAAATATATTATACGTAGAAAGATTGATCATGGTTGCCAAGGAGTTTGGAAGAGAAGTAATAAGCATGGACAAGGTGAAGAGAGACGGAGAGGCGCTCATCGCCGCCGGAGCCGGAGACGAAGAGGAAGATGACGTGGTGCTCCCGGGGTTCCGGTTCCACCCGACCGACGAGGAGCTCGTCACGTTCTACCTCCGCCGGAAGGTGGCGAGGAAGCCGCTCAGCATGGAGATCATCAAGGAGATGGACATCTACAAGCATGATCCATGGGACCTCCCTAGTAAGTGTTCTTGATTGCTCATGCATATATACATGCAAAATTTCATCTTTTTATTTTTTTATGTGATGTCCAATTTAGATTCTTAGCACGCGATCCATCATATATCTCATACTGTAAATTAAATGATTAAGGAACCGGAGAGTAAATTGTACGGAGTATTGATGCATGTGTATGTAGAAATTAAACTGAGAGTGCTTTGTAAATGAACTGATCATTAATATTATGCAGAGGCGGGCACGGTTGGTGGAGAGAAGGAATGGTACTTCTTCTGCCTGAGAGGAAGGAAGTACCGGAACAGCATCAGGCCCAACAGGGTCACCGGCTCCGGCTTCTGGAAGGCCACCGGCATCGACCGGCCGATCTACCCTGCCGCCGCCGCTGGTGGTGCCGCCACCGCAAACCCCGGTGAGTCCATCGGGCTCAAGAAATCCCTCGTGTACTACCGCGGCAGCGCCGGCAAGGGCACCAAGACCGACTGGATGATGCACGAGTTCCGCCTCCCGCCTGCCGCCGCCGCCACCGACGCCTCACCGAGCATGCAAGAAGTTGTAAGTGAAATCCATTCCACGGCTCCACTCTCATGTCATGTATACTCCATTTCCACCAATTCAATTCACACGGCATTTCCAATATGAATGCATCAATTGCAATTCCACCGAGACTGTGTTGATTTCCATGCGTCACGCGTGTGTGAAATCATATATAAGTCACGGTGCACTCCCACAAACAGATTATTATTCCGAAGCACGTACGTGAAAAAACGCAGCACTGTCAATTCTGACATGATATGGTGTCTGAAAACGCAGGAGGTGTGGACCATCTGCAGGATCTTCAAGAGGAACATCGCCTACAAGAGGCAGCCGCAGCAGCAGCCGGCGTGGAGGCAGCAGGCGGGTAGCAACGCTCCGCCGCCGATACTGGCGGAGTCCAGCTCCAACACGGGGAGCTTCGAGTCCGACGGCGGCGGGGACGAGTACATGAACTGCCTGCCGGCGCCAGCCACCGCTCCGGGCCTGCACCGGCAGCATCAGATCGGCAGCATGCTGAACGGAGGAGGTGTCAGTGTCACTGGCAGCAGCAGCTTCTTCAGGGAGGGCGTGCACACCCAGCAGTTCCAGGGGCAGTGGCTGAACCGCTTCCCTGCGCCAGCAGCAATAGAGCAGAAACCGCAGCTCCTCGATTCGTCGGCGATGACCATCGCGTTCCATCAGAACGATCAGAGCGTCGCCGCCACCGCCGTGACGAATGATCAGTGCTACAAGGACGGGTATTGGGACGAGATTGCAAGGTTCATGGAGGTCAATGATCCAACAGTACTTTACGACTGTAGATACGCTTGATCAATAGGAAGTTCAGAGCTCAGAGTTCAGAATTTCAGAGTAGAGAGACCCAGGTACCAAGGGTGCATGAGAGACCGGCATGCAGGGCCTGCTCCTCCAGTGAGGCCGCTAGTCAGTTAGATTTTGCCCGGCAATGTGCCCAAAACCCCCCACCCTTTTGTGTTCATTTTCCTGATCGGATGTATTCAGGACGTGTTGTGACCAATGTATGATTTGTGTGTGCACTGGCTACAGATTAGTACCAAAATAAACATATGTTTCAGCCACGAATCATGACTTTGACACATATTGAGCTCTCTGTGAAACCTTCTTTGTCACTAACGCAGCAAAGCAAGCAATAAGTGACAGTTTGTGACTTGGCTACGATTTTGGGCAAGCAATTGAAAGGCTACAGCTCAACCATTTTGCTCGTAAAAGTAGCACACCTGTATTATTATTTTCATATACTCCTAGTCACTTTCAGATATAAGTGAGCTGAAGATACAGACAACCTAGACATCCATGTTGTCACTCCTATATTGATCTCATGCCCACAAGTTACTCAAAGCTGCGCACGTGATGCATCAGCAATCGACCATTCATGCTTGCGTCCACAGTTCAGATATTCTGATGAGATACAGGTTTGTCATTTGCGGACAAATAAAACACCTGTGATTTGGATGGCATAAACAAAGGAGGAATCAGTTTCACCATTTCTTGTGCTGACCACCTACTTTGACTCTTGCACCCAAGCCAATGAATTGATCCAAGCTGATTCAAATGTTTCTTAACCACTTGAAGCATGAAAGCGGACACAAATTTACTTTTTTTCATCCATCTCATCTGAACAAGTGAATACCTAGCTTAGGTCACTAGCATGAATGGGTGTAGACACCATTCTGGAGGCTGAAGTGGTATCCTAGGCGACAAAACAACCGTCTTTGAATTCAACAGACAGTACCAGCAATAACGCATGCAGGAGACATTGAGCCAATTGAAGCATTTTGCCCATGGTAAATAACCATCAGGAGAGACTAGTATTAATGTGTTCTTATCAATGTGCTTGGATAATCGAGAAGACATACAACCTGATTTCTTTTTAGTAAATCATACAACCTGATTTTACGGCCTCTCTGACCAAAGAAGCCAGATATTTTTGGTTTAGTGTTCAGAATACAAAGATAATAAAATGACCAAGGTAGAGGTGTTAGACCAGAACTATATAATCAATCCCAAGACTAGGGCAAAAAGGTATATTTTCAAGTGTAAAGGTGACAATCAAGAAACAATATTTTCCGCCAGACGGAGTTCATAAGAATTTGTTTGCAACTTGTCAAGGTAAACTGGAAATATGTGCTCATTTCCAGTATGTGGGCTAAGGTGCTGTGGGGGACAACTAGAATTGTAGAATGAAGCGTGCCTTTCAGTCAGGAACCCAATAAATAACAGATACCAGTGCAAGCAAAACTGAACAATAGAAGCTACCAACAATATTTGTGAACTGCAGCAGCAACAATATTAATGTTATTATATCTTAAACAATTGAGTTACGCACAAACTGAAACATCACATCCGGATGCTACCTACTAAAGGACAGAGGGAAATAGGGCTGTGCAAATGCCATCAATCAGGAGGGTGATAGCAGAAAACCATTATACTGAAAGCTTCTGTGACTCGATGCAAGAAAAATTGTCATGCATAAGCAGTAGCATATAGACGATTAGATTCAGCCGTATCACTCTCCTCGCCTTCCACTCCCAAAAACTGAGATGTCTTTCCACTTGAACAGTTCCTGTTACAGCAGTTGGCGAAAAAAGTTATGACATTAGAGCTATACATAATTTGGTGATAATAAAATATAATGTAAAGTTCAAAAAAAACCTACAGACCTTTCAGAGAGCAACTTCTCTTCAGATAAAGCCTTCTCAAGCCTCTCCTCAAATGATGTTACATGCCAACTCACCTTCTGATCCTGCCCATATGATAAATTATTTTAGGTAAGTCCAATTTGCTTGAATGTAAATAGAAAGCAAGAGAAATAGAGGCAGACTTTACTTCTTTATACTTGTTTGTTGAATTGGGAATGCCATTTCCATCCCACCATTTAGAGGTAAAATTTTCTGGATCTTTATCTTTCCAGTGTGCTGCAACCATTCCAATAATAGGCCTATCATCATCTGAACTCTTAGCTGAATGAGATCCGTCTCCTGTCACAACCTCATCTCTGAATGCTTTCTTACGATTTGTAGGCTTCAACCATTGGGCTAAGCTTGGCAGCTCCACTTCTGAAGTGTTGCTCTTCAATAGCTTCTTTCTGGTGGCATGAATAGTTGCCTCAGTTTTTGGGGACTTCTCCATAGATGTTGTATTCATGCTCTCAATTATCTTATTAGAAGAGGATACAGAACCCTCGGAGCTCTGGAAAAGAGAACATTCATCAGACATTGAAATTTCCATAGAGACCACATGGTCACTCTTTGCACACTTTGGATCCTCTAATTTTTCAGGGTGAATGAAATCTTCTTTTGAAACCCCACATTCTTCAAAATTCTCAGCAAGATCCAGAGCTTGTTGTTGTTTTACACCCTGCACACAAGCCTCAGTATTGTTCTCATTTGTCGACTCTTCCACATTATTTGCAAGGGAAGTAGCGGAAGTCTGCAACTCATCATTTGTTTTTGAAGAACTGCAATGATGACGCACAGACACCCAAAATGTTAAACTAGTTTAGGTACTACTTACTACAATAGAGAAACTGAGTTAGAGAGTAGCGTAGCATCTTCAGAAGCAGGAATGGTAAGTTTATTCTTCAGCCATCCTACTAGTAGTAGGAAAAGGAACAGAGTTTGCATACCTCATTGCATCTGGTACAGTGGAGCTCTGATGAGACCTTGAAGGAGTTTCACAGTTCTCAACCTTCGTCACTTCCATGATATGTAGATCATCAGACATAACAGGAAGACATCCTGAATGTGTTTCCTTCTGATGAACTGAATCTGCATCTTTGACCGCTCTTTGGATGTCATTTGTAGTTTGCAGTAATGCACCACAGCTTTTTTGGATATTGGCCTGTTATCATGGAGATAAATCAGTCTGCAGCACCCAAGACCATGTGGTGTATGCTATGAGCTAACAAATAGAACTCACTGTTATGCTGCTACTATTGCTTAACTAGACTGCACATAACAATATATATGAGAAAATGACATGGTTATCTATGACTTCGAGAAACAGCTAGATTAAAAAAAAAACAGAAACGCATTGTGTATATAACACCAACTGGCTGCTGCATTGTCTCTTCATCAGCATGGCAGAATATAAATTAGCAGTCCGTGTAACACCACAAGCATTCCATGTGTGTAAACACTTTGAAGGAACATGTCACATATAACGAGGAATTGAAGCAACAAACGGAAGTTAACAGGACCCATAGTTAACCAAGGATTCTCTACTGCACATGCTGGTCTTAGTCAAGTAAACTCAGCTGAACTGAAACCATGAGATAGCAGCATCGATAACTAAGCGCATTGAGAAATGAACGACAATGACAAACGATAAAGGGGGTAAATCAGCGTCGATCCAGATTTTCAGAATGGCTGTACCTGGGGCTCAAGCTCCTGATCCATCCCCTTCCTCTCACCACTCTGCTCCGCCCACGAGCTCGCCGTCTGCGTCACCCTCGATCCCTCATCTGAACCAAAACAACACAAGCCAGCAACACGAATAAATAAACAAATAAATAATAAAAACACAAACAATCGCCGCCATTTAAACTCAACGATGAGCAAAGGACAATACGGAACGACAGATAACAGATTGAAAAAAAAAAATCGGCCACCTTCTCGCTGGAACACGGCGGAGAGCGCGTTCCTCGACGGCGGCCTAGTCCTCCTGCCCGCGCCATCCTGACGAACAGCCACACAATCCGGCAGCGTTAACCAACAGCGGCTCACATTCCACCCCACTGACACACAAATCCGGACCTCGTCCACGGCGACGAAGGCGCGGTAGATTCCGCGAGCACGGCGCAAGTAGACCGACCTGGTGGCTCGTCGTCGTCGCGGGGCCCAGGGACGGATGCGCGAGCTGGCCGCCGGCGCCCTTCGCCTCGCCGTCGCCGCCGGACGCTCGGAAGCAGGCGAAGAGGCACCCCATCATCCCCCGCTCCTCCTCCTCCGCCGCCGCCGCCGCGCGGCCTGGATTGCGCCCGCTTCGAGGAGGAGGAGCTGAGCCGCGCCTCGTGGCAGCAGGAGAGAGGAGGTTTTAGGGGGAGGAGGAAGCAGGTGGGAGGGGTTTGAAATTTAAAATGGAGGGGAGAAACGGGGGCGGAGGCGGAGGCCGAGGGAAGGAGAATGGAGAGAAAAGGCAGCCAGGCAGGGCGGGGTCAGCGGAGACGGGGTGGGAGGACGGCCCGACCCGAGTACACCGGGCCCATGTCGCGCTCTCTGCCTGCGCCGCATGCGTGACTTTTTTAAGAAAAATGGAAATTTGAAAAATCATTTTTATTGATTCAGTGGGAAGGCTGGGGCCTGGACGCCTGGGTGGGGCCCGCTGGGGTCTATTGGCTATTTTGACTTTCATTTCCGTCCATTGGAAGGGAAAATTTTAGGAGGCCATAAAATGGTGCTGCTGGAAATGGAGTAATGTAGCAGTGTGTTAATGCTGGTGGAAATGCTGATCTAATATTTTTCTTCAAATCTTCATTTTTGGCAAGATATCTTCTGCTCAGGATGGAATTTCACAGGGAACTGTTAAATCGCATTGATTCACAGAATTTTTCTAGCTAACAGCATCTCCAAAAGTCTCTTTATAACCTTTCTATTTGGTAGGAATATATATATTTTTATGATAAAATACCCTTTAACAATTTTCTTTAATTATACCTCCAAATATAACCATCCTAGCTAAAGATAAAGAGCGGAGTTGACTCCCTAGATTATGTATGAGATATTGTTGAAGGATGAAAAGATATAGAGACTATTTTTTATTTGAAAATAGGTCTCTTAAAGAGTGAGTAGAGACTTGATGCTCTAAGCTGCCAGGTCAATCCAATATGGACGAGACAGAACTATGGTGGTGGGCGTTTTTTTTTTATGCTTTGGGCCTGTTTAGTTTGGTACATGGCCTGAGGACGCTCGGACAGACACATTGATCCAGCTGTCAAAATCGGAAAAAAATTGTACTCTCTTCATACTAAAAAAAAATAAAGTTGTTTTAAACAGCGACACGATCTCCAAAACATAACTTTGACTACTTATTTTTATAAAAATATTTATCAAAAAATAATATATATAAATTTTTGTGAAAGTATTTTTCAAGACAAATATATATATATGATTTTCATATTTTCAAACTCAACAACTTAAAAATTATTCATGATTCATATTTCCAATATTTCATTCAAACCTTGTCAAAACGATTTTATTTTTGAGTACGGAGAGAGTACGTGACACCGTCGCATACAAACGTCTGTGCGACACCGCCTATCGCGTGATACGCCGCCTAGTTCGTCTGAAACTGCTCGGCTCGCCTTGCTGCAGGTGGGACCAGTGTGGAACACGCAGTGGATGTCGCACGGTGTTTCTGTGCGACACCGTCGCATAGAAAATTTCCCGTCAAAATCGATGGCCTAGGAGCTACTGGCCGCAAAGCGACCAGTCACTCAGCCAAGCAGGCCTTTTCTGCATGTTGAGCTTCAGTATTTGCTTTGCACAGCCTAGCATAAAATGGGCCCTGATATCAAAGTATCAGACCATATCACACTCAGTCCTCACAAATGGCATTGTTTCAAATCACAACACCCCAACCGCATTATCAATCGGAGGACGGTGAAACCATATGAACAGAAACAGCAATTATCTACGGAAGGGCTAATGCCAGCAAGATGAAAGATGAAAGAACTAAGAACATCAGACAATTTCTTCATTATTGCCACCACCCCCAGACAATAACTTTTCTCCTTTTAGAACATGTAGACAATAATGAACAGTGTCATCCTATGACCATCCCAACACACATCAGTGTTCACAAACAGTAATGGAAGTATACTACAACCTGAGGGTTGTATTTGCAATGTGATATATGGTAGTTGATATGAAAATATGGCGATGTGATCAACACACAGCAAGCCAGAAGATCTGAGTGGAACGAGACCAGAAATCTATTTGGCTTCAACACAGAACCAGCCGATTCTGAAAACCAACAACGTGCCAGTCAATTTGACCGCAATTGACAAGGAGAGAAAATCTTAAAAGTAATTTAAGATGAAACATGTCGGTGTTGCACCAAACAGTTCCAAATGTATGGCTAGATAGCCGATTCAATGAGGCTATCGACTAAATAGTCGATATCCGGTGTATCCATAAAATAAAGATCTTTAAATCAAGGATTATCGGCTAATATTAAACGATAATGATATGAATTAAAATAACCGATGCTCATGGAACATCAGAAAGCATCATCGGCTAAGTGAAACATGATCGATATAAAGCGTCGAGCCAATAAGTTTGATAAAAAGAGTATAACATGAGAACAAATCGACTGTTTAATATAAATAAATCTAGAAGCAGTTTTGAGTCTAATCTATTATCATCAACAGTGAGGTTTGATCAGATCGATGCATCTATGATAATGATAATAAACTAAAGCCAAATAATCTATAAAACCATCTATATATTGACAGATTTATGAAAACATGCTATATGCGTGAGAGTATAGGCAAATCGGCTAAAATAAGCCGATGCAGTCATAACAAACAAATAAATAGATATCTTGATCATGAATAAGACCACTAATTGAAAATTTCGATCTAAAGTCTTACTAGTGAGGTTCGATTGGATTGATGCAGCTATAGTAGTGTCATTAGATTAGATCTCATTAACTAGTGGGTTTATTCAAGATTGAAATATATCTTTAGATGCATACTATGTTTGACTCGAATAGAGATAAAACAGCCGATATAGCGTAATTAAGTTATCAATTATAAGATTTGAAATATAACCAGATCAAAGGACGACCAATTAAAATGATATGATGCTGATCTATCTCTATCTCAATTGGGTGATTTTGTTAAATTAATAAAACATTAATTATAGCAAGATCGATAACTGGTGAATTAATCAAAAACAGTAAGAGAAAATCTTACTAATCTTAGCAGATTCGATAACTGGTGATATTGTATTAAACAAGAAGTTATTTAACACAAGATCGATAACTTTAATCTATATTATGATTCGTAAGAGATCAATTAGCTGATGCAGCCTTATAAACCATGATACATATCAATAACTAACTTATATTATGGCTCATAAAAGATCAATCAACTGAGATGCAGCTTTACAAGCACAATACAAGTCATGATGGTACTCACAAGCAAGCTAGAAGTCGTTCAGATGATGCAGGCATGTTTACTAAAGAACTCGTTGAGATCTACAGTACTCCTACTCCTAATGCGATGGCGAAAACCGAAATGATTGTATTGATTGAGTGTTCGTTTTTTCTTTTATAATAACAAAATTTAATATTTATACCCGAAACTTAAAGATAAATCATACTCAAATACGACCCATTATAATTCTTGAAATAAAAGAAAACTTCCTAACTTAATAATAACCTGGACCCCAATTTTTCTTATTTGTATAGTCCGACACATCTTCATAGCGCCACTCAAGCATAGCTCATTAACGCCGTCTGCTAACGTCATCCATAAAATAGTCGATTCTAACATCACATCTAAATCAACTGATTCCGATTCATATCTAATCGATTCTTTGATGACACAATCATGAAAGCTTCGAGTTCCAGCATTCTTCCTTCCAAAATTTGGTGTAAACAATGGTACACATAGTATCCAACCCCATCCACAAGGGTATTTGATTTACTATAGGTGTGCCTTGGCATTCTCGGGTTTCCATCCTAGTTCTCGAGCCTTTTGCTCCCACCAAGAAGTCAGTTTCTTCTGTTTGACCAATGCTACAACTGACTTCTCTCTAGCTTCTTCACAGGTGTCCATGCCTGAGCTGCATTTGTCAGCCTCCTTCTGATACTGTGAAGCTAATTTTTTGGCCTCGAGCAACTTAACATCAGCCTCTTGCTGGGCTTGTGTTGCCTCCTCTTCTCTCTGCTTTAGTTCTTCTACAAGCAGCTCTGTGAAACTTTTTTCTGTCTCTTCACCAGATGCGCGACTCTTGACCCCTTTGAAGTGTTTAGCACAATCTGAAAACATGGAAAGGCGCGAGTTTCTGTTAATTAAAGCACAGTGATCAGAAATTGAATAATATGGTTATGAACACAAAATGTTCAAAATAACTTCACTTTGTCATGTCTGTCTCAATCAAAGACATAATCAGGCCCCTACGTTTATTGAGAAGATAATTCAAAGATATCATGGCATAATGATAAAGATCTACTTTGAGATATGGTATTATTGTGATGTCTGGCTCTCAGCACTGCTTCCATATGTTAGTTGTGCATAACATTAAAATGCACATATAACAAAAAGGAACAAAGGACACATCACTTGCTAGCTGAAACTATTCTGCAAGACAGTGGCATATAACATGAGTAAATACTAAACAGAGAAGACAACGAAAAAGGCAGTAAAAGATTTTTTATGTTCCATGGTTTAGCATCTAGACATCCTTGATATAGGACATCAGGGTAATGATTAAGCCAATAATTTTGGAGGATGCCCGAGCCTCTGATTCAAGTTGTAGGATATGTAGGAAAGTTTGACACTTGGGTGATGGGATCAATTTACAAGTTACAACATCAGACAATGAAACCCACAACAGGTAGATTCTAATTTTCATGACGAACTCATGATATACGTATCTAACAGTAATTATTAACAGTACAGCATGGGCACATCGGTAATGGCCGTGCATGATGTCATCTGTTCAGCTCCATCCATCTTGTTTGTCTAATTGCCCCTACAAACTGAGTTCCACTAAAAAAAGATGTTTTTCCTCAACTTAGTTCTGTCTTCAATGTTGGGTGAAAGAAATGGATTGGAAATTTGAGCAAGCAAGCTAATCTTCGCTTGTGAGACCAAAAAAAAAAGGCACCACTAGTATAGTGCAGACCTCCGAACCGAAGTATCATCCACTGACCGTATAATGTCTTGGGCAGAGCAAAATCCAATAGTAACTCGCTGCTGCGTAAGCACTGCTCGCACGCAGTGCAGACAAGGACAGCAGCACAAAAGCAAAGGGAAGGAGAAGGACAATCCAATCGCGTCGGATCTAAAAGAGGGGCAGCGCCAAGATCTAAGGAGGCAGCGAGGGGGGCAGAGGCGAACCTTCCGAAAGGTCGAGGAGCGGTCGCGCGTCGCAGTTGCAGTCGCAGGCGGGGCACGCGGCCGCCGCCGTGAGCGCCTCCGCGGCGTGCCAGTAGAGCTGCGGGCCGACGATGTAGGCGGCGAGGCCGAGCCCGAGCAGCGCCACCAGCGCGGTCACCAGCGCCGGGCTCGGGCCCCACGCCGACGACGCCCCGCCTCCCGCCATTGAGCACCCGCGCGAGGGGGCAGTGGAGTTTGGACTTTGGAGTTGGACCGGTGGAGAGGCAGGTCGCCGGCGCGGCTCGGCGCGGTGCTGGGGGTTAAAGGAGTCGGGGGAGTGGGGAGTGCATCAGTGGAGGCGGAGCGGACGCGCGAGTGGAGACGGACCCTAACCTGAACATTGGTGGGTTTGGCGGAACCCAGGCTGACCGACACTGCTCTGCTGAGTCACAAATACCCCGTTTAGGACAACTGCATTTCCTCTCTTTCTTTCTTTTTTCTTTTTTCTTTTTCATAAAAACACTAAAAAAATACTCCACATTGATACATCTTGAGAAAAATAGAGGCTAGTACAAAAGAGGAATAATAGGTGGCGGCGGCGGAGGCAACCCGGCCATGCCCCAGCGCGGCGCGCTGGCCACGCCGGCGTCGCGACGCACTGGCGCCCCTGCGCCGGCAAGCTCCACCGCGACAGGACGGGCGCGGGCAGCCCCAGCGCAAGGGTTCTAGGAACCTAGATGCCCAGATTCTGGCCATTGGTGTGACCCTGGATGCCGCTGCTTGCAGTTTTTTTTTTGGGTGCAGCAACTTGATTTGGGGTGTGCCTATGAGCCATCCATGGTGGCGCTGCTCTAAATTTTGCTGCATTTACTCTTTACAGAGTCAGGTTTGAAGGATGATGCTCCTCTGTTCTTAATTCTTAATTCAATTTATTATATGACCCTAATTCCTTTTCCTTGGATTCATGTTGTTCTTCTTCAATGGAAGCTGTTGCTCGACGGAATGGTGCGACGTTGGAAATCTCTTGGGAGACAGCACCGAGGTTGCTGTCAGGATGCGTTCTGAATCATCACCACATGGGCTTGATGAATTTTTAGCTGAGGTACCAAATTTCAATGGCCCAGAAAAAGCATATTATCAATTTAACCAAAAAAAATATGTTCTGTACCTTGTTACATAGGTCCAGAGCTTGACAAAGGTGCATCACAGGAATCTGGTGTCTTCGATTGGTTACTGCTGGGAGAAAGATCATTTGGCACTGGTTTATGAGTACATGTCTCAGAGCAGTCTTTTTGATCATCTGTGAGCTATGTCTATGGAAAGCCAATTGAGTATTGATTTAGGCATAACCAGCTATGTGACCTTTGCAATTTACTTTTCAATATCTATGCATGGTTTGGACCTGAGAAACTATCTTGACTGACTTATAAATAATTCTGGTATCTGAAAAATCAGAAGCCTTTTTTAGGGTATCTACACGTCTTTCCTACTGAAGTTCCTAATCCTTACTGACAGCATGGTTGCGAAATATTTGCCACCATCCTGTTTATATCGTCAGTCCATCTTAACATTGGGATAAGGTGTGACTTGATGTTGTGACTGTGAGCTACATCCAGTTACCTTAAACCCCACCACCTGCCTATGCTTTGTTTTATTTTAGTGTATGATTTCAGCTAATGCGTATTTTAGAGGATCGGTTTTATTTTAGTTATTAACTATATTTCAATTCCATTATAGAAGATCGTATCAAAACTAGGAAAAGGAAACATTCCATAATTAAATTTGTTGAATACATTGTGTCTGGCTCAAAAATTTGTACCTTGGTTTCTTGTATGTGGCCTCAAAGATTGACACTTTTAGCTGCTACACAGGCAGCATACTAACTAAATTATGTTTCTGATCATGCAGTTCGGGATGCTAATACAGTATCTTTTTGACAAATTCCCAAATTGGCAGAAGATAGGTAGCCCGGCCATTGGGGACCTTCAGGTAACACAATCAATGCAATGATGCAGTTATTTGTCACTTAGCTCTGTACACACAAAACATGCACACATGAAATTTGTTGTCATACATATGGCCTTAGGTTTTGTTGTCATACACTAAACATTTTGTTTTGGATAAAATGATAACATGGTTTGACACACATGGCCTTTATCCATTCAATATAGATTTTCCTGTAACTGTGTTATCGAATTTTATACAATTCCTGGTAACGTTCCATGACTTTTACGAATTTAATTTCCATAGGCATTTTAAAATCGCTATTCTAATTTTGACCCAAAAAAATTTGAAAGCTTGGTCTGGCCACTCACGTCCCTTAACGTCTGAGTAACATCATAGAGCACACATGGGCCATAACATCAGGTACATGGCATATATATGGCGTGTGTGTTTCAGTTCTAAAATACAGTACCAAAATTGGCGCACACCCACAGTACAGACATGTTTGGAGTTGCAGTGCTGAATTTCATCCTAAAGAAATGCCACAAAACCCCCCATTTGCAAATTATGTCGATTCCCAGTTTAGTGGCTCAATTTAAGTTGCGCTGCGGTATATTTAATGTGGTTCTTATGTTTTGAGTCGCTGTGCTGAATTTCATCCTAAAGAAATGCCACAAAACCCCCACATTTGCAGATTATGCAGTTTCCCAGTTTAGTGATTGAGGTTAAATTGCACTGGGGCATATTTAATGTGGTCCTTACATTTTTCTGATACGTCTATCATTGGGTATGCATCTGATTGCTTTTTTATCCTATTATAACAAGGCATTGTATGAATAATGCTTCCTTGAAAGGTTCTTACAGCCGCACGGTGTTAACCACAGATTTGGTTTTCCTCCATTTCTTCTCTTGTATGTTGCCCCTGTTCATGTGTTGGTTCTCTAACTCCTTGTGTTTCCTATTGTACACTTGCAGAATCAACATTAAGGCCGCTTCCAGTTTTCAAAGACAAAAACTCATTACAAAATTTTGGCCTTCATAGAATAAGGGCAAAGAAAATAACATGAGATAGGACGCCTTGTAACACCTAGCAACAAGGGAATGTAAATTATATAGAGGACTTAGATAATGCTGGGCATCTGATCTGTTAATACTTCATAGTTCCAGGCCATGTGATGGGCTCTGAATATCTATTACATTACAGTTTCCTTTAATTTCATGCCTTGCCACTTAAATTCGATGCCTCTGCAGTTTCGCAGACTTATACAGGGATGCAGCCATGCCATGACAAGAGGTGGCTTCGAAGTAGAGGAAGAGCGCCTGTCCATCTGAGAAGAATAGGAGAGAGCGGCAAAACTCAAGTGGAGCAGGAGGGATGCACCACCTGGTTCTGTACTGCCCAAATGCGGTTTTAGTCTGAACTTGAACTACAAGCTATATAATTAAGAATTCTGGACCTGGTGAAGTAGGTTCATGGCTTGTCTTGGGGACCTTGGTCAACCATTATGTCTCTGTCGATGACTGCATCGCCACTGTCCGAGGACATAAGAGGTCAGTTCATGGAACCATCATAGTAAAAATGTCCTATTCTAATTTCCATGTTTGCTTTTCTGAGTCATTAATCTTTTGCACTACAGATTTACATGTTCGTGCAGATGGGGGACCCTTTCCATCGAAGGATTTTCATCAAGCAGCACTGCTTGATTACTCAACTAGGTCATTTATTTCACATTAGTTTATCCTGCTATGCAGCATACTAAATCAGGAAATAGGTGTCATGCTTCCACTCGATCAAATCGGCCATATCATCGCTCCTTCTCATTTCAGTACATGAGCAATTATGCTAGATAAACAATTATAGCAAATTTCTCCTTGCTAACCACGAATTTGGGTACGACCTTGGTTCTTTTGGGTTCTTAAGAGTCGTCTGCAATAGATTATTATAGCCTTTGTTTTCTGCTTTCGTTACAACCATATACAACTGCAGAACAATTGCCCTCTTTTATCTTGATATATAGTAGATATGTTTTGATATGATAATAAAGTATCATTCTCCTAGCCTGCATTCTATATGCAGTGGTGCTTGTAGGTGACTCCAGCACATGTGTATAGTTTTACAAATCCAAGCTCTAATTGCTCAAAGACATAGTCCGCATATCAGCTTTTTTGTGCGATCAATTTGCAGAGTGCAGATCATCTTCTACGTGTGCATATGCCATACATCTTACAATCATTAGTTCAAGCCACTGTAACCTTGAAATAACTCTCTTTTACCTTCCTCTATGCATCGTTTTAGAAAGGTAAACTTGAACGATTGAAACTCTTCGATTCCTAATTTTGTCTAATATGTCATATGTGCAGGGTGATATTATTTGCCCCTTAATGGAAGGAACGGTGCCCATGCCTGCTCAGTGGTGCACATCTTCCAGACCCAAGAGAGTATGGCTACTACATATCCAACCCTTCAGGTAATAAACCACACCCTTGTATATTCATGGCCTATTTGTCAATATTTTATTTTCTCCTCAATCCGTTATCGCAGCCTCTATTTCCCTGCTGCGATATACGTGTTCGATTGCAGCAAACTCAAGGATCAACGCAACCGGGGCAAGGGCCGAGTGCCGCTGCTGCCTGCAGTGGTCCTCACAATGGTAAAGGCAGTTGGGCTTCCTAGCAAGGTAATTATTACTTTCTGACACTGCAAATATCAGGGTACTTCAATTTTTAATGCATTTCTGAGCTAAGGCTATGTATTAGCTTCGTCTGAACTATAGCTATGCACTTTGCTATCTGAAACATGACATTGCTTTTCCTTAGTATCAACTCTGCAGCCAATTTTCATTTGGATGGGCAATTCCGTTTTCTGTTAACTGCTCAGGTTTAGTTCACTTAGATTTCTCCCTTCATGATGGTACATGATTCCAGCCTGTTGCTTTCAACTTGGTAACATTTTCATAGTACCCTAATATTTTGAGTTTCAAATTAGATTTGTGAGATAAAGTCACTAATAGTCTAATACAGTTACCTTCACAAGCTTAGTAGTGTTCTGCCATTCGGCTCATCAGTCAAAGCAATGCCTGCAGCTTAATACAATCAAGTGCAACAACTATGTTTACTGGTCAAGATCCTTACTCAGTTTTCATTTACGGTTCTATGGATAAAAAAAAAAATGCCTACACAATTTTTTAAGACATGTTTCAGATTGCGCTTTGAAATTGAGTCCTCCTTTTAACCATAAAAGTGCTTCTATGTTAAACCAACATTTTTTTTCCCAACATAATAGTCCTTCCAATATTTTATCACAAAAGTTCTTTTGAGGACTATTACAAAATGATCAACATCATATAATTTCCAATAAATACCTAAATTGACAAGATAATACCATTTCATTTGATTCTGTATTTGGATTACCTACGAGATTGAATGCACTAGCTGCTTGTGTTTTTAGAGTTTTGTTGCTATCAATCTAAGTGTGATCTGCATACTCATTGTAAGTCTCTGTGATAAGGAAAAAAAAGGATCAGCCTCTCAATCCACAGACTGATTAAGGATCAGCCTCTCAGTCCACAAACTGATTGAAGCTGCCATCTGAGGTTTTTTGTTTTTTCACATTTGAATTATTGATTTTTTTTTGGTACCGAAGTGCCTGTTCTGTTTGCTTTCTCATGCAGTCTTTAGAGTGAGTGCAATATGTTCCGTATTTTTACCTTCTCCTTACTCGACACATATCTACATCTGAATTTTTTCTGATCCAGTGTGCATCTTGTTTCATCCCTGGTGGTTACGTTTGGTGTTTTCTTTCCAAATTGAAGGGCGAATTGGTAGCATGCCAGTGCCCTGAATCCACAGGTGAGCAGCGAAACTCTAAAATGCTTCTTATTTTTATGGATACTGCAATAACAAGTACAATGTGTATCATGCCATTCCATTGTAGTGACCATGGCTTTTCCATATTCGCACGACAGGCGAATATCCATGCTTGATATTCCAACGAATAAATAAGATCGTAACAACAGCAGTTGACATTCCACTATTTCCATTCTATATCAGCTACAATCGTTGTTATCAATTTCTTTTTTTCTCTCCTAACGTATTTTCCACACAACCTGTACAAAATAAAACAAAGACTTTATCACTGTTATTTCTATGATCAACAAAGGAACTAGCTAATCATTCTTTGGTTTATCCAAAACCTTTTATTGTCCCTGAGACTTCTTTTGTCAACATACCTACAGCTACATACTGTACTGACTACACTCCAATTCGTTTTTTAAATGCTATAAAATGCAGAACCTTAGCACTACTACATCATTTTGCAACATGGAAGTGACTCCTGTTGGATCGAAGACTTGATGCCCAACACACTATGTCCAGTTTGTATATAACAAGGGCTCCTCAGGAAACGACTCCTACCTGATCAACAGCTATGTATTAATATGTCGTTTATCTCCAGAACTATAAATACACCTGCTTAAATGCTACTTATCTTTGGTCTGTACTATGCCACTAAAACCATGCCTTTCTACTTAGATACTTCTTATTTTTGTTCCGTGCTAGGTCACTAAGTGCATGCCTTCGAAGAATCGTTTTAATCTATTTCTAATATATTTGGGCCACTACATTTTCAATATGTTTACAAATTTCTCTACGATTTGTGCTACATCTGCTATACACGTATTGATCCTATGTATCACAGCACGCCATACAAGCCTTCGCTGTAAATCATGTTGCTTCATCGATTATTGTCCATAGTACCATATCTTCTGAATGATACGAGCCTTCAGATAACAAAATACGTAGTTAGATTCCTTCATCCCATCTACACTCATATGTTTCCTATATATATCACTACGTTATACTTACCCACGCGCGCAAGGGCGCGCGTCCTGTACTAGTATTACTATAGCGTAGAGCTAAAACCGAAGTACGTGTGTTACTTATTACTTCCGAGCGGCCCTGGCTCGTGGGGTGCATGCGCAATGCGATTGAATAGCTGGGCGCGTGCTAGAACTTGGCTGACAACATGCAAGCAGCCCAACCAAGACTTGTTCACGGGAAACAAATCTCATTTTTATTTCTTTGGAGCCCTTGGAGCCTGGCTCCCGCGGGCGCAAGAGACACCTGCATGGTAGAGAGACAGCGAACGAGCAACCAAACAACGGATGACTCGTTTATCTCTCTCTATCTACAACTAAAACATACTAATTGTCAACGTCTATCCGACAGCACCAAAACATACGGATTGTCAACGTCTATCCGGCAACACTAAAACAATCCTGCGATCCAAGTCTACCTGGCGGAAAAAAATCGCCATCAATTACGCACATGAAAAAAAACATCGTCAATCACGCACACGCGAAAGTCAATCACGCGCACACAACAAAAAAAAATTCTCCGCAAACACCGCATGGAAGGCAATGGAAACACGGGAAGGAATTAGGAATGTAATCACCCTCACAGAATCATCGGTAGGCAAATAATCACCGCATGGAAACACTGGAAGGCAAGTAAAATGGAATAAAACGGAAAGAGAATTATGAGAAGGGAAATGAATGTATGGAAATATCACCACAATGATCATGATTATGATCCTAATCTCGTCCATCCTTCGCGTTGCATGCTGAGAACGACCATCCTCTCGCCTCAACTAGAGCGGCCATTAGCAGACGTCCCTCCTTTGTGCCCTAACGGAAGATGATGCACATGGCGGAGAAAAAAATGATCTACTGTTGTTATGACTTATGACACTAAATCAATTATACACCTATGTTTTTTGTCCTAGCCTTAATTTTGACAAGCTTAAATTTTGGCTTACCATGATTTTGGTTCAACAAGAATTCAATTCGATACCTACCAACAAGGTAGAGCATGGACAAATTCAATTCGATGCCTACCAACAAATTGGTTAGCTTTTCAGGCAACCGATGGTTGTTGTAATTTTCAGACAACAAGCTTGCAGCCTAACTTTTATTTTAGATTCATTACGATAATGAATGTGTTTCTAGACATTATCATGGTATAATACACGTGCAACATTTAATTGATATATTCTTGATTTTTACTTGGCTATCAAACATCTCGTTCAATTTATGTTGCACCCGTTGCAACGCACGGGCACTCATCTAGTTCAACCAAACAAGAGGATGTTACATACTATAACAGGCATGCCCCGCCACAACCTTGTTTATAGGAACAAGCTAGGCTCCCTTGATCACCTAAACCAATCACATCCTAAGAGAATATATCCTCCCAAACGAGCTCTACTAGCCTACTATGCCATATTGTTATTTTGCCATCTCTTGACCCTTTGAAGAGGCTTGACCTTTGGCACACCGTACCTCTCTTCTAAGAGAATTTTCATGGGTCTTCAAATCTATACCTCTATATCTATATCTATACCTAATAATAAAGAGGCAAAATTTTCAGCCATTTTTTTCATCCATCCATTTTTTTCGTCCACATCCCCCTAACTACCGATAGTCGAAAGTTTCTTCCGTCTGGACTATATATATATAACCCGAGAATAGCTCTTATCTAGCGCGATACGGAGTCCGATTCCAAAACGTATTGGGTTGTGTATGGTCTATGTTTAACCAAAGAGTCCATACTCATGCGCAAAAAAAGTCCATACCCAATACGATTACTATATATAGTAAATTCGGTTTTTTTCCTTTTCCTATACCGTCATATGTTCGGCTTTTTCCGTTTTTTAGACTATCTCCGATTAGTTACTGTATCCGATCCGTTTTTCATTTTCGTTCTTTTCCTGATTTCCTTTTTTTTTTTTCTTCTTCTTTTTTTCTTTTCTGGACTATCAGGTCCGTTTCATGTCCTTTCCCTTATTAGTTTGCATGTCATTTTGTTTTCCCGATTCTCTCATGATTTTTTTATAAACATAAAAATAAATAATAAACACAATATTATGGATCTTTGGATCCTTCATCCTTCCCCAATCCTTAATAATCAAATATTCCTACTACTAAATTATTGATGTAATTTGATTAAGAATAAAATTATTCTTATTATAACCTAGATCAGTTAATGGTCTAATTAATTAAATCATGAACATAAATCTTGGGCGGTTTATTGTCCAATTTAACTGGGAAGCGACAACGGGGGTAGCGATGCCAATAGATGTGGCCCCGCGGGAGGCGGTGGCGGTCAGGCGGCGAGGCAGCCACGACGACCTATTAGGGGCGGGAAGGCGAGCAGATAAGGAGAAGGGGGTGGGGCGGAGGTGGCGGATGCCGACGAGGTAGCTGCCATCGGCGGCAGTGACGGCGAAGCGAACATAGCCGCTAGGGCGGAGCTCGCCGCCCTAGCGAGCGAGGCGAGTTTTCTGCAGGGATTCCTCTTTTTCCATTGAACTTTTTCGCTCTTTCATGGGTAATTAAATATGTTCATATATTTGATTAAAACAATATATGTTCATATATTTCTACTTATTTTGCACGACATAAGGAATTTGCTAATTTGGCTGACATTATTCCAAATTACACTTTTATAGATGGTCAATGTTCTAATGTAATTATTGCTTCATTGTTGATGGATTAAATGAAAAATATACATATCTTTAGTAACTAAGTAGGGATATAAGTTTTGATTTTCTCCCATTGCAATGCACGGGAATGTTTGCTAGTAATCTCTCTTATATGTAGGTATTGAGGTAGTTCAACATTATTTTTTGAATATTATAAGAGTTAGCTGCAACAGTGCCTTGATATATCGGGCACACAAGTGTGTGGGAAAAAATGTTTGAATAGTATTGGTTGGGACAAGCCCTATGCTACTTGGGAGATACAACTCTTTCTTTATTTTAGAGGATATGAAAGAAATATCGGTGCACAAAAAAAAGGCATTGGGAGACTGCTGAAAAAAGGCATA